AAATAGATTTTTAGTTCAAGCAATTCTGCTTCCTCAACCTACCAAGTAGCTGGGATTACAGGCATTCATCACCACGCTCGGCTCATTTTTTACTTTTAGTAGGGGTGTGGTTTCACCATGTTGATCAGGCTGGTCTCGAACTCCCAACCTCAGGGAAATATTTTGTTCCTTTCTGTGATAACTACATCTACATTCTTGTTTGCATGGTATATCCTTTTCCAAATTTGCAAACTTTCTTAATCTTAAAATGTGTGTCTTCTCAACAACATATTGGTAGGTTTGCTTAACAATCTTTCACTTGAATTGTTTAGTAGAATTATATATAACATAATTACTGCATGCTTTCAACAACATGTACTTGGTTTGCATAGAGTGCTAACTGTAAATAATGTCAGATACAGATTTATGGGACATAGCTGTCCAGAAAATTTTCTATCAGCTGTCTAAATTTTGGCATATAATGCAGACAATATTTGGTATAAAATACAGACATTCTTGACCGACATAGCTCCTTTTTAAATAAGTGATATCCCATAAGCAATGTAGGCATCACGTGGTAAATCTGTTAGGAAGAGCCTGCTGCAGCAAAGAAGAACTAGGGGAATGGGACAGGCAGTCCTAGAAAATTACTTGTACCTTTGCTATTAGTCAAGCTTGATGATGGTTAACATTTCTGACTCACATGTCTGATTTGATAATCTGATCTTTTGTGGTTGCCTGCTTCAACCACAACCACAATAATTTCCTTTAGAATGCAAGCTAGGTCATGTTACTCCTCCTGTTACACGTAGTCAGGCATGAGCAGGGCAGAAGAGGGCTCTCCCACCCACTAGGAATGTTGAGTTCAGGCATGATCACAATGCCTCTCTAAAAGTGATAAACTGGCAGCCAGTGCCAGGGAGAGGCCATTTCCTGATGGTCTGCACCTGCTGCATTAAAGTGGTGATTGAATACAGACACTAGGAAGAAGCCACTTCCTGGGCATGCGCATTAAATGACAAAATTGCAGAGACTGACCTTCAGGGCACTCCACAGGAAAATGGAAAAAAGCCTCAGATAGGCTTGTGTATAGCTTCCTAAACACTGTGGGTGCTCACTTCTCCAGGATAAGAGGGGCACTGCATGTGCGGGCAGCCCACCCTATGGGAAGAATCACGGGAAAAGGGCCAGCCTGTAAGTCCGAACATCACTGTTAAACAGGGCACTTGACCTTGATGCCAGATTGAGTCTCTTCCAAGCATAGTCTTCTTTCTTCCCTGCTCTAAAGCCTTTTAAATAAACTTCCACTCCTGCTCTGAAACTTGCCTCAGTCTTTTTCTGCCTTATGTCCGTCAGCTGAATTCTTTCTTCAGAGAAGGCAAGAACCGAGGTTGCTGGTAACTCAAATACCTTCTACTGTTAACACTCTGACCAAATGGCTTTCTGTTCATTTAGAGTAAAAGCCAATGTCCTACAATTGTCTGAAACCATTATCAGACCTCCCCACTTCTCTTCTATAGTCATCACTTATTATTATTACCCTTTGTCACTCTGTTCAATATCCAATGCCCTCCTTGCTGTTCTAACTTGACTGGCAGCTCTGTCACAGGCATTTGAACTAGAGTGACTCTAATCTTGAGTAGAGGCTGGGTAAAATGAGGCTGAGGACTGCTGGGCTGCATTCCCAGGAAGTTAGGCATTCTTAATCACAGTCTGACAGGAGGTCAGCAGGACTGGTATCACAAGATACAAGTGGCAAAGACCCTGCTGATAAAACAGGATACTGGAAATAAACCAGCCAAAACCTTCCAAAATCAAGATGGCAATAACCGACCTCTGGTAGTCCTTACTGCTCATTACATGCTAATTATAATGGATTAGCAGCACCATGACAGCTTACAAATGCCATGGCAACATCCAGATGTTATCCTATATGGTCTAAAATGGGGAGGAACCCTCAGTTGTGCGGAAATCTCCACCACTTCTTGGGAAAACTCATGAATAATCTGCCCTAGCATATTATCAAGAAATAACCAAAAAAAAAGTCATATTCAGCAGTTCTTCAGGTTGCTTTATAGAGTCGCCATTCTTTACTTCTCTAATAAACTTATTTTTCACCTTACTCTATGGACTCCGAATTCTTTCTTGTGCGGGATCCAACTCTCTCTTGGGGTCTGTATTAAGACACATTTCCTGCAACCATTCTATCTCAGGGCCTTTGTTCTGACTTTTCCCTTCACAAAAGTTACTCATGATGGCTGGTCCTTGTCTTTTTCAAGTCTACCTTCAGAGACTCCCTGACTATAAAGTCACCCCAACCCTCCAAGACTGCAGGCCACACATCCCCTTTACTCTGACTTGTCATCCTCCATGGCCTTTATCACCTTCTCAGACCCCATGCAATTTACCAATTTATTATTTTTTGTCTCTCCTCAGCATAATGTAAAGATTCCTGAGAACAAAGGTGTTTTAACTATTTTAGTCACTGGGTGCACAGTACTTTGTGAAACAGATGATTGAATCCTCCCCTTGCAATTCACCTGAATTCCATGTGTACATTTAATAATTTAAGCTACGAATCATCTGCATGTGTTGAAAATTTTTCATTGTGGCTGCTGTGGGTTTTGCAGTTTTTTTTTATTACATTAGAGTCAGTGAACAATGCTTTATTTTATGTAATTTATTGAGTTTTCCTTTATGGCTTAGTCCATGGTCAGTTTTAAAATGGTTCAAGTGTATTTGAAATCAACATGGCTGCCCAGTTTGTCAGGTGTAGCATATACATTATATAGTTTGCTGTGAAATCCAAATTCCTTTTATTTTTTATCTGAGAGCTTATGACTACATAGGATGATTGTTTCAGTATAACAGTGTAACTCACTTTAGAATAATCTACAAACACTGTTAAGTCTGAATCACAGAAAGGAACCCTCTAGGTACAGTGAGTATTCTAATCAGAAAAGTCACACTGCAGAACTGCCTACTACAAGCTCTTTAATTTTATCACTGATCAGCATGAAGACTGGTCACTGAAAATAATGAGTGCAATAGTGGCTTGTTAGAATAACAAGTTAGAAAAGGTCCCTCACTGCTAACACCAGTGGTATTCAAGACAGGGAATCAGGACAGAATTGAGACTACTCCCTACCCTTATATCTTTAACAGACTTTATCTAGCAAGGCTCTAGGTGGTGCCTCAGGCTTACCTGTAAAATAGCACCTCCCATCACCAGGTTAGAAGATGGTTCATGATAACAAAATCTTGCCCCTAGAGTAGTCACAAGGTGGTTGTTTCCTCAACCTTGAGTAAACTCCTCCTGCAGGAGGTGGTGGAGTGCCTATAAGAGTAAGCTGGAACTTCATTAAGCTTAGCAACTAGGTTGTTAGAACTGTTTGGTGCCTGATTACTAATAAACGTATGTTTAATAAATGTTTGTATGCACAGCAGCATTTATAATGATATCTATTTTCACTATCACTAGCTGGTAAGGCTGCAGGGAACAGCTGAATGACGCTCACCTAAAACTTACCTAGCAGTTATCTAGAAAAAACCTGGATGTTGTGTATAAACAAAACTGGTTTAGGGCAGTTTCCAACACTAATTTATGACTATTTGTCAGTTTCTTTTTATAGATAAAAATTTGGGGTCATGTAATTATAGATAGTATTGGCATATAGACACAAGTTCTTGCTTGTTTTATCTTATTTTTGCTGTCTCTTTTAATGATTTCATCTTAAGTGTATCTTGGCTGCAACATACAACCTAGACATAGAATTATGTATGTTACATAGTATTTGCTTAGTATATTTTCCTATCCCTTATTTTTAGATTGGTTTCTATTAAAAAATACACAATGAAAATAAAATATGAGATTAAATAGCCACAAAAACTTACCAAATTTTAAGATGCCATTTCTTTCAGATCTTTATTTCTCAAAAGGATTACAAGACTTCAACAAATATATTTTTTTAATGCCAAGCTATCAAATAAAAATACAATATATACTAAATCAGTGAAAAAATAATCATAACCCTTTATATTTTGTTTTGTTTAGGCAAATTTTAAGAGAATTAGACACTGGGAATCTAAAAATACAAGGATAGTAACTAAAGTCAGTGTTTCAGGCCCAGGACACAGCTTGAGTGGTATGGAGATAAATAATGTGGGAAAACTAAAAAATGTGCCGAGAAGCAGAAATAAAAGATGAGAGAAGAACAAGGTTGTATCTGTTTACTAAAATACGTGCATACTGGTACCTGTAAATTAAATGCAAACATCCCCAAATTCTGAAACTGTAATATAAAAAAAAGTAGCAATGATAGATAAATCATATGCCAGAGTGAAATTTTAAAACACATTTCATATTTCTAGCATCATAAAAATAAATTCTTTTGTAAGAGACTATCCTAAAATATTTATCAGAAATATAGCTTGGATAATAAATAACCATTTGATAATTACATAAACATGTAACAGATATACTCTACATGTATAGTTTAAGTATATTAATGAGACTTCTTTATGGATAAACATCATATAAAAATAAATAATTTTTATATATTTTTTTAAAATGTTGGCACTGTAAGTTCACAAAAATTAGCTACTCAGTGAATCTCCCTACTTCAGGAAGCCTCCGCATGTCAGGACAGTCTGTGAAGTTCTCTGGGAAGCAAAGGAGGCGCTGATGGGAAGTGAAGGCTGCCTCTCAGCTCAGGAGAGCTCACAGGCAACAGGGCAGTTTGGGGAAGGTCACAGATAAGAAGGGCATAGAGGGGCCGGGCGCGGTGGCTCACGCCTGTAATCCCAGCACTTTGGGAGGCCGAGGCAGGTGGATCACGAGGTCAAGAGATTGAGACCATCCTGGTCAACATGGTGAAACCCCATCTCTACTAAAAATACAAAAAATTAGCTGGGCATGGTGGTGCGTGCCTGTAATCAAAGCTACTGAGGAGGATGAGGCAGGAGAATTGCCTGAACCCAGGAGGCGGAGGTTGCGGTGAGCTGAGATCGTACCATTGCACTCCAGCCTGGGTAATAAGAGCGAAACTCCGTCTCAAAAAAAAGAAGGGCATAGAGGGAGGTAAATTAAATCAAATCAGTAAGTGTTGTTATATTGCTAAATGATTCAATCCCCACTCCATCTCCTCCAAAAAATGTTAAAAGAAAATTTTCTTTTGAACATTCAGTGTCTTAGCACTGATAAAACCAACAACTTTTAGTACTTCCAGTCAAAAAAGCTTAATTCTCTTCTTTAAATTTCTGGTTCTATGACCAAATATCCTGAAGATAGCGTTTTTCTTCTTTTAAAGTGGCCAGGGTTTTCATCGCTTCTAGTCTGTCACCTCCAACCTCTTTGCTTATTATTTCCACAAGGGCATCATTTACATCCTTGGCCATATTCTTAGCATCTCTAGAAAAGGAAGTAATAAGATTATTGTTTACAAACAGGAATTTTTACCAAATCCTCCTTAATTCACAAGTCTCATTTCCTTTGACTCTACCACCACAGTTCTTCCCTCCCTCTTCTCAGAAGGTCTCACACAGACCTCCCAGCCTCACTCATGCCCAGCCCAGGCCTTCGTCTATGTTGCCTGCTCTAAGAGGCAGAGCTGACCACATGGTTCCACATCTCCCAATCCTCCACAGGCTCTGGGTCCTCAGAGCAGGCCAGGGATGTCCTAGTGTCAGGGAAGCATCTGAGGCCCCACCTCGCTCCTGCTCACCTGCTGGCTTACCCCTCCTGCCCTCCACTCTCAAGGCACACAGTGGACTCATACTCCCGAAGGGAACCAGATCTCTCGCATGCTTCTAGGTTTTTATACACATAGAGTTAGAAACAGACACCTTTACTGAGGAGTTAGTAAGTGCCAGGTCCTTTTGAAGTGCTTCTATATCTTAATTCTTCAGGGCTAGAAACAGGTACGTAAAATGGTACCAAGAGTGTACAATGCAAGCATTAACTTTCACCACTATTTCCCTGATAATAACAACTTCTGGGCTATTAAATATGTTGAAATCATTTCAAAACTTCTATGTCTAGTCATATACTTAAGAATTACGTCTTTCCCTGCATATCTAGATTACTGGCTTCTCAGTCCTTTGTTTCTTCTACAGACATCACCAGTGGCCCTCTCCTACCCAACCTGGGCAGCACGATGACTACTCACCCACACACGTAAATACAGCCATTCTCATGGAGGAGGACTCTCGCCACCTGCTTGCCATGAAGCTGGATGTTGTCTTGCACATACTTTGCTGAGGGCTTCCTCCTCCCCAACAGGAGCATCTCGTGAGAAGGAAACCTTTAGATGAGTTAAGATCCCATGCTTAAGGAAATGTCTGAGTTCTTTTCTGAAATATAATATGTAACAGATCACTAAAGAGTTGTCAAGTTGAAAAAGTCTGAGAATTAAAACTGTACACTCAGTGGTTGAGTACAATACTGGAACTGTTCAGTACCTGAATAGATAATCCCTATCCTTATGTCGGCAGCCAAAAAACAACCACATTGCTCCAAAATTTCCATCAGGGTGTTGTTCTTGGAGTTTCTCTCTAAGTGGAAAAAGAAGTTTAGGTGTGTGATATAAGAAATATGTAAAACCAATCTCTTTCATTAGGAACTACCGCCGACAAACTCGGACACATTTGTAAAATACATCTCTGCAGTTAGAACATTCAGTCATTTAATTCACATTTTACTCTCCACAGGCTGTCATGGCCACTCCAGCAGATATCACGCTAGGCAAGTGTGTGGAGAAGTGGCTACATAAGACACACATGAAATGAGGACAATTCAAAGTATCACACTGTGAAATCCAGAGGGAGTTCTACATTCAATAATGTTAATAGCAATTTAATGAATAAATAAATTCTTAACATGGAAAAGTGGCACAGGGCTGGACAGAATGTACAAAGTGTCTATGAAATGATGAACACAGGGATGAGAGAGACATCTGTGACTATGCTTTTGCTTCCTTAAGGAGAAAATTAAAATGAAACAAAGTAACTGTCTGAAGGACAGGACTCTACTATCTGAGGAACAGTAGTTGCTGATTACTTCACAAACATAAATGGAAGTATGATTTTATTTACTTATTTCATATCAAATACTTCTGATATAAAGTTACACTTATTAATATTCCGTTGGAACTTACTGATGTTTGAGTTTAATGTTGAAACTTTTACTATAATTGGATCTGTCACTACCAGTTTTATCCAATTAAAGGATAGATGCAACAGCTGTGTATATTATCACAGTATGAAGGTATGCCCAACATTTGTTCCCAACTATATATGCTATAAACCACAGTATAGCTGAAAAAATAAAAACTCAAAGTGCCACAGGAAAAAAGGGAGTTCTAGGACAAAGCAAAACCTCTACATTGTGTTTACTTTTGCCATAGTGACAAATTATGTTATCACACATGGAATAATAATTTTTTAAATAAAAATTTTACGGTCAAAGTCCAATTATCCTATATGACTAAATGAACACAACAACAAAAAGGCTACTCAGGAATGCATTTTCCCATTAGCCAAAAAAAGAACATACCTATGTTGTAGGAACCCAATAAACGGGGCTATGCCAGTTCCTGGGCCCACCATTATGATGGGGATTGACGGGTCATTTGGCAAGTGGAAAGAATTTGTTGTTCGAGGACAGATGGAGATCTGAAATATTAAACCAAATGTGGTAAGCATGAAAGAAAACTGAGGCAAGAGCATATAACCAAGATGATCTTTGCTAAATAAATCAGAAAGGGCAAATTCCCATCAAAGAAACATCACTAAATAGCAGCATCTGATATTATTGAAACCATGAGAACATTTGTCACTACAGAAAGAAATTTGTCTTGCAAATTTTTCTTTTCTATTCAAATAAAAAAATGCTTTAAAAAATGACAGGTATCATGTCTTTAGGTAGAACACTAAATAGGTATTAATCAAATCAGGTTTCCTGGTCCATGGGTAAGATCTGCTTTCTAGAGGGCAACCAATAGTATATATTATGGAGAGATGTACTCCAAATGTGAAGATATGATTCTTCATGTTTGTAGATGAAGGCCAATAAAGATTAGTATCACAATGAGGTTGAAAGTTTTTAAATAAATCAGTCACCTTAAAAAGAAATTAAGGGGCTGCTCCAAATATTCCGCATAACGGTGTTGTATTTGCTATTCTGGGTCCAATTATTACCAAGGATTATCTTTGTTATAACTAAATAAAATCTTTAACAAAAAGATTTTGTTAAAAAATTCCAGTTTCACTGTTATATGCAAAAGTCATACTGAGTGATACAAGGTTTAAGAATGACAGGACTCCCCTTCACCTTGCATGGTATTATAACGTATACATTTTAACTGTTAACTCAAGGACAACTGTAGGAAGTAATAAGAGCTTGAACACCATACTTTTTAAATGAAGGAATGGCAGAGCTGTGTCTCATTACTGCTCTTACTTGGGAATGAAACTAATTAACATTACATTAGCCTTATTTGCTTCATTTACTTAAGAGATTTACTGAAAGTATTCACTGTGACAGGCATTAGGGATGCAGAAATGAACAAAACAACACTCCTGTCTTTATGGAACTTACATTCTAGTGGGAGGAAAAGAAAATACACACACACATTATCATGTATATCCACAGAATGATAGGTAATGACTTCCTAATGTCTTAGTAAGCAAAATTACAGAGCGTAAGGAAATGACGAGTGTGGGCAGTGAGCTGCTCATTCAAACACCAATGTCAAAGAAGGCCCATGTCTACCATGAGACCTTTGACCACGATCTAAATCAAGTGAGTTAGCCATGCCAGAGCATGCTCTGGCAGAAATGAAAAAACATGTGCAAAGATCCTGAGACAACAGCACAATTTCTAGGTTCTGGGGCTTTCTTCCTCGAAGGCTGCGGGCTGGCTGTGGTGCTGCTTCACTTGGGGTCTATGTGGAGAGAGCATCACGGCAGACGGGAAGAGGAAGAGAGCCAAGCTATGCCACGCCAGCAGGGTTAGTGCTCCAGCTAAGATGTGGCAGATGCACACAGCCAGGCTGAACATCAGCGGCAGGGTTAATCTGTGAGTACTATCTGCCACAGTAGGGCAGGGCGTGTGATAGGTCTTGCAAAGGTCTACATTTCCTATAATTTGTAATACATCACGGCACTACTAAACACAGGCAATTTCAGATGGTTTTAAACTATATTCTTGATATCTGTACTTCTAGTGCATACAGATTAGATAGTCAATAAAAATCTGTTAAAATGGGGAAGGAAGGAGGAAAAGAGGGAGGCAGGAAAGACGGAGCAGGTGAAAGGCACCCATGCTTAGTGTTTATGATACATGAAAAACACACATTGTTTTTAACGTTCTGAAGATCTTCTGCTATCTTTATACAATCACCAAGTGTCATATACTTTTATATCAGTACTATAATACTTCTTCTCAAAAAAGAAACAGCTTCTGTAAGGTTCCTAATATTTTGATGTATAATGAATATATGATGTTTAATGAACACAGTAAATTATTTCTCTGTTCCAGGCCACAGAGTTGAAAAATATCAAGCTAAAGGGTAATTTCAAGCAGCAATCATCCCTTAACCTCTCAAGTATATCCCAGGAACCTTTCAATTCTAATAACTTTAAAAAACCAAACTGGTCCTAAGACAACACTCCAAATCAATCACTGATTTCTTCATTACCATGAAGAAAGAGGACTTTATGATAAAGCCTGAAATGTTGCTTTATTTCAACCATTCTTCTGGGCAAGAAGGTACAACTTTAAATTGTTCCCTATACACGTGGTCTTGAAATTCTGTGAGTGCTGTATCAAAACATAAAAAGGTGACACTAAGTCCCAGTGTAAATGTGTCTATAATCTGTTCAGAAAATCACATAGCCCTTTACTCCTAGGTGCTGTAAAAGTAATTACCACCATAATGTCTTCTCAGTAATAGCACAAATTCAGATATCACACACCACAGATAAAAAAGGAGAGAAACAGGGATGCGGGAATCCTTCTAGGCAAAACTGGACAACATAAAATTAATCTTTAGTTGCCATCAGACTCCTAATGTAGAACTACTTATTTGAGAGGCAGGATACAGCTTCAACATAAAATGAGACTGTCTCTAATCACCCCCTTAAATACTTGCTGGACTCTTCTCCACTCTTCCCTTGGCCAGTTTCCAAAAATATCTACAGAAAAGGTCATCTTTTCCACGAACAGGACAAGCAGAGACCGTACTACATAAAATTCATGCTTTACACATTCAAAAAATACACACACTAATTAAAGAGTACATGGAAGTAAACAGTTTTCTGCTCTTCCAATAGGGATTTTAAAATTCAAGAACAGCATACATTTTCTTATGATAGTAATGAAAGATGTGGGCGAGGTAACACTGGTTTTTCTAATCAAACAAAGAGTATGAGTTCACAATGCTGAAGTTAAGGTGCTAGTACCTTAGGAGCCAGGACTTGCCTGCTGTCTTCATGGGACGCATGTGTGTCTGGCTGAAGAACTGAGGCAACCAACGAGGCCAGCCAGCCTGTACACACTCCCTTCCGCACAACCTCTGCTGTGGCAGTAGACAGAAATTCCACAATGTTGAAGACAAAATGAAGCTTCCCTGGGTGAAATAAACTTGAGCTGCAAAGATACACAGACAAGTTTTGAACTTGGTATCAGTACTACTACACATATGGGTCAAACTAAACCTTTTTTTTACTCAATTTAGAAATATTTCCTTACAGGCTCTAATCTACCTTCCAAATCCTCATAGAGGAAAGTCATTATTATGTAAATAAAATCTGCCCCCAACCCTCATACTCTCACATTTTGTGCTATCATTCAAGAAAGTTTCCAATTTTATTTGCTTGCACTAGGACTAGATAAGATTTATAAAAACTAGTATGTTCTAACAATCTTCATGTAAAAGATTCATTCACTCAGTATTTATTATAAAATTTTTACCAGGTGAAGGAATAGGAATAAATTCTAACAAATATCCATATATTATCTACTGGTAAGATGATAAAACTTGAAAGTAACTGAAGTATACACCCAGAACAGAGAAAACTAAAAATTCAAAGTAAAAACATCTTTAAAAGACATTCCTACAAAAACATATTTCTTTTCACATTACAGGGTAAATAATGCGAAAGATCTCAAATTCATTCTTAATTCCCTTTTCAACCAAAAGAATAGTGCACCTACTTGTATTATTACTGAAAGGTAAAACAGAGAGCCAGATGGGAAAATGGTAGAGGCTTTGCAATGAAACAAAGGCTGGAGGGCGAATCCTGTAAGCCAGTGCTCATCAAATGTTTTACAGTGGAACTTTTCTGTCTCCCCTCCCTTCCACAGCCACTCAGTGAAGGTGGCTAAGCACATCAACAGAGAAGCATGTGCAGGAGCCTGAGACTCTCCTTAGTGGGGAAACACAGTGCTGGACCGTGGGGAGCCACCCAAGATGGTAAAATCTATGAAGTCCCAGAGGACAGGAGCTCTGTGATTCTTCTTCTGCTTCATTATGCCTGGTACTGTCTTCCATAAATCAGGTAAGCTTTCACTGAATAAATCAGTAAACTAAGGATTTGGAAGCCTGAGTGCCCTAAGATTTTAGAGAAATGATGCTTAATATTATGTGAATAAATATTAGTACCTTGCACATGAATATGGTCTGGGTTGGAGTTTAGGAAGATGTTCTAGAAAAAAATAAAAGAAGCAGCTATTAGTTCACTACTACTGAACATAACCTTACCTAAAAGATAAAAAAAAAATAGTAATAATCCAAAGGCCTAAATTTATCCATGTCTTATTTAGAACACTCAAAACAAAACATGTCCTAGTTTTAAATCCTATTTAAGAGCATGTATAAACTATATGTGTTCAAGTAAAATATTACTATTTTTTTCCTTCAATTCCTCAAGTTAAAAAACAGAAATGATGCATTTCCTTATTCTTAAATCAGGATTTCTACTCATATGGTAGATTTTTTTAAAGCTAAGGCTCCTAGTAACGAGTCCATGAGTAGGTTTCGGAGGTGGGGAACTCAGCAAGCCCTTATTTGGTTTGTGCAGTTTTCTACAGGAAGGTGTCCAGTTTTCAGATTTAAAATAAAGTGATGGTCCCGAAAACATTAAAGGCTACTCTTTTAAGAATTACTGAAAGAGTTAGGCTTGAAATATTTTCCATCTTACATTTATATAATTAAAGTGTTTGTTTGGTTTTTAAAAAATTATCAAAACATTCAGTGATTTCAAAATACACAGGTATTCTTTCAAAAGCAGGTTAAGGAATCTATATTTAAATATCTAACTGTCCACCAATAAACTTTAAAATGTTTATGTTTTGGTATGTTTTACTTTTAGCAGTTACTTAATTGAAAATTTGAAAAAAATCTATAATGGCTTAGAGTTTCAATAAACATCAAAATAAGGTTTAGTAGGGTGTTTGACTTAATATTAAACTTTAAATATTTTAATTTTTCTTGAAGAAATTAGAAAATAATATAATTCTTTATAAATCCCAATGACTTCAATTTTTTTATACAACTATGTAATAAGTGGTATTGTTATAAACATTCTAAAAGGTAACAAAAAAAAATCTACAAAAATAATTGAACTGAATTAGCATATGTTAAGAGAACTTTCCAATACTACTTAGAACTTCCCACCCTGTGTTCTATCATCCTAATCCTGCTGACAGTTCTCGGAAACTTCACTGAAGAGGGAGAGAGGGCCAGCCTGAGGACAGGATGGCGAGAAGAGCAGCCTCGCTCAGCAACACAGTCTTACCATTTTGGAGAGGTCCTACGTGGAAAGAACACTAAGAAAAAGGAGGAAAAATCAGAGAATGGATTGCAAAGGAGGGTGCCTATAATAGTACTGGGTATAAAAAAGGATCTCGCTGGCCTAACAGTAAAAAGGACAATACATAATTTGGTGTCACCAAAGACAAATGCAAATGTTAAGGCATGACTACTTATCACTATGGGAAAGATTATAAAATTACAAGCACAGGAAGGTAATAAAGGCTTCAAAGTCCTACAAAACTCTTAGTCTTTGCCCCTAGCAAGCATTTTCAATCCTTTCCTGAGAGGCAGAAAGGCCCCGTGACACTGACTACTCAGGGACAATGCTGACATCTTTTCTGTTGGAGTATGAGAACTAGAAGAGTCAGTCTGGGCAAAAAAAAAACGAGGGTTACCTTTTATCTGAAATGTGATGGTTCTCTGCCTGGCAGTACCCTGAGTATGCCAACTTGTACTGGTATGACACAGTCCCCTTTTGCTCCTGAAGGACCCTTGATCTGGACTTGCTCAGATGGGGCCATTTCTGCATACAGAGCACAGACTGCATCAACGTCTATCAATTAAATATGATGTTCCTTATCTTTGAAAAAGATAACTTTTTAACGAAAAGCTCACTTTTAGACATTTAGCTAAACAACCTTTCTGAAAAAAAACAGTTAAGTTAAAAAAGATGGTCAATTCTGAGCCAAAAAAGAGAATTACAACTGACTCTATTAGGAGAAAAAACGACAGTGACACTGCTGGAAGACAAAAGAGGAAATCAGAAGTTTGGAAGGGGAATTCTGTGACTTCTAGAAGGCGGCACAGATGTCACAGCGCCCTACGATGTTTACTTACCAATCACCACCATTCGTTTAGATGTATTCTCACTATGCACAGAGCACAAAGGGTAAGATAAGAGCAGCACATTTTCTTTACTGCAGAAAGGTGGTTCACCTATCAGTGCAAGAACAGCCACCACGGTGCCTGTGAAAGTGACTACTCACCGAGCAAGAGACTGAGCGGTGGCTGGCAAGAAAGGAAAGTGAGGAGGAGATCCAACAGGCAGGCACCGGCGTTGCGCACAAAGCGGTTATAATCGGCTGCCCCTTGCTTACTGCACAGCTCCTGTAGCCTGCGCTTTTCAGCGCCGTCACTGGTATAGTCCACAAGGGCTCGCAAAAATGCCTACAAAAAGGAGGCCACCTTAAATCATGACACACTCTGTGGGCAGAGCTATTAGAATATTCAGTTAAGTGTCTGCCTGGGGATGTACCCAATTACCCAAGAAAAAATGAGGAAGCCACTAGGAGCTGTTGTCAGGAGGAAGGAATTTAATTTACCATTTGCTTTTATGTTAACCTGTTAGAAAAATTCCACAATAAATAAAAATAATAAAATTCTGAATTCCAATTCTCAAAGTCCAGACTCCTGGACAAAACATCAAACTTGCTAATAAAAACGTTTTATTTCAATGCAATTACAAGCTATTAATTACATGCATACATAGCTTATTTCCCAAGGGCTCTTTAGGAACAAAGCACTTCAGTAATTATCTGCATCAAATGTTACGTGAAATGCTAATGGGTATTGCTACTGTAAATTCTTGGCTCAGATAATTGTGTCCCGGGCTGCCTTAACAGGCGGACAAAATCACTGTTCCCAAAGGAGTCACAGGTTTCCAAAGGCTTGGCTGAAGAATCTGTCTAAAACACCTAGACACTAACAAATGACACGTGTTCCTCCAAGTGCCAAACTCAATGCTGAACAAAAATAAGGACTCAGGAAAGGCTGCTGAATGCACACCCCAAATCTCTGCATAGACCTATGGCAAGATAATAAAAAATCTACCAATAACACTTTGTAAATTCTAAAGCTAATACAATCTCCTATATTAAAAGCTAAAACAGTGACAGTTTAAAATTCTTGCTTTATTCACTCTAGAACAACAAAAACTTTAGGGTACTAAAACAGGAAATACTGCACTATTTTTGGAGAACAAGCTGACAAACCTGACAAACATTACTACAACTTAAACCATAAATATTTTTAGAACAGCAATTCTACTCCAAGGAATTTTTGTTTTACAAATATATTTCAAGTAAGTGTGCAAAGATTAATACAGTACAAGAATGTTTGCCTCACTTTCTTAATAGTGAAAAAGCAAAAATGACTCGATTGTCCATAATTACGTCAACAAATTACGGCATATCCATAGCAACCACTGAAACTCTTTCCATCCTGAAATATACAGATACTTGATTTGTTAAATAAAAAGGGCAAGTTATAGAACAACACATGTAATACAGGCCCCCATTTTTTTCCTCCGGAAAACAAAATTCAAGTGTCAACTCTGAGAGTTTGATTATAAAATACTTTGGTTTCCTGGGTTATTTATTTCTACATCCAGAATTTTTCCAATGAGCTACTATTTAAAAAAAAAAAAAAAGAAGAAAAGAAAAAAGACACACACACACACACACACACACACACACTTTACACAAATTTTAAAGCAGAGCTGAACCAAAATTGTGACTTAATCAGTAAGCTCTCATCAAAGTAAATTAATTCTAAATTTACTCAAATTACATCTCTAGCTGATTACCAGGAAAGGAAGATGGAAAAAAAATTATGTTTGCCTATGTGTATTTAGAGAGAGTTGAGCCGCTCTCTAAAGCAGTTTACTCACCCAAAGACTAGAAATACAATAAACATATTAATAAATGACACAAAATCACACTGGGGAGATGATGGTCTAATTACAACACTCTTATGCTCATAACAATACAAGTGTGGCAAGGCACAAGTGAAAAATTTTATCCACCAATAGCCACTTCAGGGAACTGGTTAGAAGAAATCAGTTTACTAGTAGTTTTAAAAAAGAGTTTCTGGTACAATACTGACATCTAGTGGACTGTTCTACCTCCAAGTTCATGTAAAAATTGATCTTGCCTACAAAAACCCGTCCACTTCTCCCGAAGCATTCTGTTACAGCAATAAACAGTTATGTAGTATTACACAAAGGAGATCTTAACAACTGTAGCAAGTGGCAAGTGCTGGTGGGGAGAATCCTAAGCTCTCATTAGCTTTCTGTCACCAGTTAAAGAAGCAGCAGCGATGTGTAGCTGGGTAACCCAAGGTCAACCGCAGTCACCTCCATCACTGTGGAATGTGCTACAGTTAATGACTAGTAAAAATAAGACTAAGAAAAAGCCCTATTTAAACAATCTCATTTTAATAGAAAACAAAAATTTTAATGCAAATACAACATAAAAAGATTTGTATATGACAGTTATGATAGCACACACCCTTGGGAACTAATATTAAAAACATGCTACGAAGATCCTTTTTTTAACACTGCAAAGGGCAGATTATAGATTTATTCAATCAATCCTAAACAAAGCTAATAACCATATTTCAAAATAGTTACCTGAAGAAGACAGAAAAAAATACCTTTTTAGGAATTGCTCGTATTTCAAGACACCAGGTAAAAATGAACTGGAGAGAACATCTTGCAGGTATATGCTGGGGTAAGGCAGCTCCTTTTCAGGTAAAGACAGGAAAGGGGTCCATGACATAGAAGATAAAGAATAAAATGTTTTACACTCCCCAAAACACAATTACCGTAATACTTTACAGCACATCAAAGTGCAATACAATTGTGGCAATGTTTATTCAGCCAAAAAAATTTCCCGAAATGAATATAGTAAAAAAAAACTCTACCTTACAAAAAAGATAAAAATAATATAAATTCAAGATAGGTCAAATAAAAGAAAGGAAAATTACTGAAAATTAAGGAACAAAAAGCTAAAATGGCAGCAGAGTTCCATTAGCATTATTCTCAAAAAAACATTGAGGGTCAAGATTCTAAGCAAATAACTAATATATTTATATTTTGAAAAATAACTTCTCAATTATGGACAAAGCAATTATTTTATATAATAAATAAGCAGTAAGAAATATACTATGAGAAGTAAACATAATAGGAAAATTTTATAAAAGAACCTGACCCAGTGCTTCTCAAAATCTGCATTTACACTCACTTTTCACGTCCACGTCCACAAATGTCCAATAATCACAACATCCGTTATCTTTGTATTCAGTGTAATTAACATAAAAGTTAAGAAACCAGCAATACCAGTGCACACCTGTGCTCCTGGACCCTGACTCACAGCTGAGCCCCAGCCATCTGGGCGGCCACCACACAGGACACTGATCTTTAGAGGCACACTCTCACCATAAGCTCCAGTCCTCTGGCCCACAACACCCAGACGTCACAGCATGAGGGCTGTACCTTTCTTCTTTGTGTCTGCCTTTACTTTCAAAAGGACACAGTGCTCTCTTTTGTCTTCAAGCTGCAGTCTTTGGAGTAGGCTTTGTACCTCAAAATCACTGTTAGGACATATCACGCTGAAGGCATCTCCAGGCTGATAGGAAAAATCTGTTTTCTAGAGAAGAACCAAAATGAAAAAAACCCAACAATTCCATTATGTGTTACATACTTTAAGCTGTAGGGTAACAAAAATATAGTTTACATTATATTATGAGTTTGATATATGAACTCAGAAACAAAATAATTCTAATTCCAAAAAAAAAACACTGTTTTAACAAATAAGCCCAACTAACCAAATGAATGTACTTTCATTATTAGCAAGTACTATTAAAAAGAAATCTGGTAGTTATCCAGTGTTTTGCCTTTTATCATTGCATACTTAATGAATGGAAGTCAGACGTTCCTCGTTCTCACAAACTAAGGGCCTATGGTGTTTTCAATAACCCATGTAAATATAAAAATCCATCTTACAAAAATATACATGCGCACACACACAAAAACATACATTATGACTGAATGAAACTAATTATGATCAAATGTTTGGCTTTCAATTTTCTTCTCCTTACTTTCCCCTTTTCCTTTAGGGGATAGGAAAAGATCTTCTTTCCTGAAGTATAAAACATGACACCACCTGGCTTGATATTGGTTGTAAGCAAATGTGGGCTGGAAAAGCCGCCACTTCCCAAGTCAAGTCTATTCCCAGGCCCATTGCCTCCAAGCCTCAGGGCGACGCAGACGCAGGCTTCAGCCCTGGGAAGGAGCCTCTCACGACACAAGCTCACATTTCTTACTGGCAAGACAGACAGACCAGACTAGGCACAGACCAACCCTTGCCTCTTTATGACAAAAATGTAAAATACCAGAATAAAAAATATTTTAGTCTACATAGTATTAATACTTATGGATGCAAAACCATCTATTTTTGACACATTGATTTTTTTCTGTTAGGAAGTTCAATTAAATCTACACAGACAGCCTTAATGTGTCCCTGCTTTTCTGAAGAAAAAAAAAAAAAACAAAAAAACAAAAAACAAAACCATTTAACCTCTCAAGACTTTCTTTTTTTTTTTTTTGGTGGCGGGGGACGGAGTTTCGTTCTTGTTACCCAGGCTGGAGTGCAATGGCGCGATCTCGGCTCACCGCAACCTCCGCCTCCTGGGTTCAAGCAATTCTCCTGCCTCACCCTCCTGAGTAGCTGGGATTACAGGCACGTGCCACCATGCCCAGCTAATTTTTTGTATTTTTAGTAGAGACGGGTTTTCACCATGTTGACCAGGATGGTCTCAATCTCTCGACCTCGTGATCCACCCGCCTTGGCCTCCCAAAGTGCTGGGATTATAGGCTTGAGCCACCGCACCCGGCTTACCTCTCAAGACTTTCATAAAATAAAGGGTCTGAACTAAGTATCTTTGAAGAGGTACTCAAGCACTAGTTTTAGGATTATCAATCAGTTTCTTAACAGCAGGGTGTGGAGAGTGGGAAGGGGGCCCATGGACGGGGCACACGAAGGCACATCTCACACTAAAACTGTATGCAAATGTTTCCATAGTACAGTTGGCCCTCCATATCCTTAGGTTCCCAATCCTCAGACTCAACCAACCTTGGATAGAAAATATTTGGGAGGAAAAAAACAGTAAAAAATAACAATAAAAACAATGTAAAATTTAAAACACAGTATAGCAACTACTTACATTGTGTCAGACTGTAAGTAATCCAGAGACAACTGAAAGTGTAAGGGAGGATGTACACAGAGTATATACAAATACCGTAACATTTCACACAAGGGACTTGAGCTTTGAGGATTTTGGTATCTGAAAGAGGTCCTGGAACAAATCCTTCGAAGATACTGAAGGACAAGTGTAATTATTTTTCAGGAGAGTCCATAATTTTTTTCTGGATTCTCAAAGAAATCAGAACCACTGCTCTGAGGAATTAACCCTAATCTGACTGTCTAGGTTCTATTTTTCTTTTTTTAAAAAACTGAGACAGGGACTCATTCTGTCACTCACGCTGGAGTACAGTGGCATAATCACAACCCACTATAGCCTCGACCTCCCAGGCTCAAGCAATCCTCCCACCTCAGCCTCCCAAGTAGCTGGGACTACAGGTGCATGCCACCATGCCCAGCTACCATTGTATTTTTTTGTAGAGACAAGGTCTTGCCATGCTATCCTGGCTGATCTAGAGCTCCTGGGCTCAAGTGACTGCCTTCGGCCTCCCAAAGTGCTTGGGATTACAGGGAGAGCCACCTCACTTGGCCTTAGGCTCTATTTCTAATTATGTGGCTGACCTTAGGCGAACAGCTTCCTTTCCTGGACTTCGCATATATAAAATGCTGTTCTGATCCCATTATTCTTTCATGGCTTATTGAGTAAGGCAGAATCTCTATCGTCTCAGGCTGAATCTCCCCTAGCTATTCCTCATCCTAGCCCTTCCTTGAAGTGGAAAGAGAATAGGGGTGGAAAGAAAAAAATGATGGGTCAGAAATAAAATGGCGAGATGTCCTGTCAGAGACCTCTCATTCTTCTGAGCATATATAACCAAGCATCACACAATTCTTCTGCACATCTTGACAATATGACTGTGTTGAGAAATAAATTTTGCAACTTACTGAAATGTCCAATTCTACCAGCAGAGTGGTTTTTATGGCATCATTCGTAGTAAGCTGAACTGCCTTTGAAATTGGAACTTGAAAAATTGGATCTGCTGAAATCACAGATGCTTGGCTTTCCTACTTGAGAAACAAATGTGACAAAATGTAAGTGCAATTTTCAATTATCCCCTTCTTTCACTTAGTGACTATGCAAGATCCATAGGGTCTTACAAAACTTCCTGGCTACTTAGCATTCATTTCCAAAGTAAATGAGTGCAGACATATGGAGCTAGCTTTTCAGAAGAGAAGCTCAATTCCATTTCAAACCCTTTGTCTATTAGACATTATAATTTCTGAAATACACATAGAAAATACAAAATACTACCATTTTCATGTAAAGATCTAGTAGTTTTCCTAACAAACTATGTAAAGGCAAACAGTATGTATGCAAATGTTTCAGGAAGGAGAGCTTAAAGGAAATGACAGATGTTCAAGGCTGCAACGTGTGTGTAGATGGTCACAGGAACCCCCTAGTGTGGGGCAATGCTGTTCATATGGCTGCTGAGCAATAGAAATGTGGCTAGTGTCACTAAGAAACCGAATTCTTAGTTTTAACAAATGTTCACTAATTTAAATTTAAGTAGCTGTATGTGGCTAGCAGCCCCTGTACTGGATACGGCTAGCAACCCCTGTACTGGATACAGTAGGCCTTGAAAAATGGCAAAAATATCAACTCTTTATACTAATCCCTATTCCTTTTCTACCTTAATATTCCTAAGTTTAAAAACAGAAAATATTTTATCAGTATTTTATCAGTTAATTCATTGTTTATCAGTTAAATCAAGGAAGCATGCCAAGCGAGCTGTAGGCAGCTGCTCCAATAAAAATGGTCCTCTGCCCTGTCTCCGGACCTGTGACCCCCTGACTGTACGAAAGAAGAGGTCTCTAGGGGAGGGACTGTGGGACACTAGAAACTGTTCTCGGTAATGGCTTTGGCAGCCCTTCTCCCAAAGGAGAAATGGACACTGGGCTAAGGGGAATGCTCAAACATTTCAGGGTCTATTAAGAAGGGGTTCAAATGAATGTTGTTACCCAGGGTACCCAAGGTGTCAGGACAGCTCATCTATGACAGCAAGGCACATGGGGGCCGGGTGGTAAATGGACTCCTGGTCCAGGACCTCTAGTGGCCACTCGGCAGCTGGCACCAGGCAACACTGAGTTCCTGGCCTATGAGGTAAGACCTATCACAGTGAGGAAGGCCAGGAAGATTCTGAATTTGACGCCATCCTCCTCCCCAACCACGAAGACAGAACATGAGAAACAAAATAGCACCCTGAGAGAAAAGACATCCTGAAAAAGCTGAGACACAGGGTATGGTCTCTATCATATCTTCCCTGAATTTACCAGTTTGATCTCTGCAAAAACCATAAAAATCCTGAGAAACGACACTCAACTACTAGAGACTCAAACAAGTAACAGGTCTGCTGTACCTCCACGGAAGCTGGTTTTCTTTGACAGAGTAGACTGACATGGCCTCAGGTACATGGACAATGGTTTAGTCAAAGTGCTGCCTCCCAACCCTATCCCTAAAGAGGACCAGAAACAGTTCACTTGGAGTTGGAACAGACAATTATGCCCCAGGGGTATAACAAGTGCTGCCTGCTGTTATAAGAGTCTGAATAAATGTGGAACACCTGCAAAGCACCATACTAGCCTACTCTATCAGGGGCACTGTGCTATCCAGACCGAATGAGAAATGAGGAGTGGCCAGAACAGTGGAGTCTCTGGTAAGACCCATGCCCTATGCAGTTAAAGGGCCTGCACTGTCAGCAAAATTTTCTGGGTTCAAACAGTTTGATACATGTCAGGACATCCCCTCCCAAATAAAGGCCACACTAGTGCACCTTGAACCTCACTTCTCTAGAGAGAAGCAGAAGCACATTCCACACCTAGGAGGACTGCTTACACCCAAATATCAGGTGACAGAAAAGGGTACCAGCTTTGCGTGGGGCCTAGAGCAGGAGAGGGCTGTAGAGCAGGTCGCAGAGTCGGTGATCAGTAACAGGTCCTGACCCTGTACCGCATAACCCAGAAGACCCTCTGGTTATTGGCGGGAATACTTCTACATGGGAGGAAGATGCCACATGGAGGGGCTAAGGCCTCTGCAGAGACTGCATGGCAGCTCAGTTTCTCACCGTGCCCAATCCTGCTTCCATCCCCTCTGTGCCTCAAGGCGATGGTCCCAAGAGGATGCCCTACAAAACATTCTTTCCCTATTCTGTACTCTGTACATTATTTTATGTTTATATTGTCTCCCTTAAATACTTCAGATTTGTTAAGCCTTTTAACTACATTACTAGCAACTCAAGCCTATTTAATGACACTTTCTATTAAGAAAAAAACATACAAACTCTAAACAGATCTTCCTCCTAACTTAAAACTACTAGTCAAATTGAGTACTCTCTATCCCCACTGCCGTCAGCTGACGCTGTGGCTCCCAGATGGGGCTACTCGCTGGTGTGTCACTGTGCTCTGATCCCACCAGTCCAGGCACACGTTGTGTCTGTTCCCAAACTGGACTGAGATACGCTTATTGCAATTATCTCACTTAAACAATTCACAAAATAATGAAGTACAAGTGCAGAAACAATAGCCCACAGGTGTTCATACACAAAATCACACTTACATGAAAGCTTTAGAAAGACACCATGAATGCTAAAAAAAACCTGCTATCATACTAGGCGTTTACAAATAGTGCTAATATACTAGAAAGATGCTGCATCCAAATTATTTCTTAAATGTCCAAATCTGTCTTCGTTAAAAAACAGAACACAAGAAACTAAACACAGTAATAGCTGCAGTAAGGGTGTAGTTTTTGTAGGAAAAGTCCATGTGGAACTCCAAACAGCCGCTCAACAGAAAGAGGGCTTAGCCCTGCATTAAAAGATTGGCCGCTCTGAAAACTTATTTTAAGCAGGTTAGGAAAGATTTCAGGGTACCACGCACTGACTGTGAGAAGTTAGCTATTGTGCAACTTGATACTCAACTCACTGCCCACGCAACTTACCACTGTTTGACTCATCTAAAACGAGAAATCAAGTTGTAATTTTTGTCAAAATAATGATGAAACTAAGCTCTTAACTCTTTACTTCATCAAATACAGAAATAATAATACAAGACCTTTTGTAACACCTGAGTGGGAAAATTTTGTCTGAAAGGGGCTAAATGCCTTAGGCTTTGTACTTCATTATTTTGTAAATTGTTCAAGTGAGGTAACTGCAATAACCACTAACTCTGCCACTGTAGCTCAAAAGAGGTCACAGACACTACTTAAATGAATAGGTATGGTTGGGTTCCAGTAAAATCTATTTACAAAAGAAAGGAGATGGGCCACATTTGGCCAGTAAGCAATAGTTTGTTGACCTCTCTTCTAATGTGGTAATAATAATAAACTCAAAGCAAACATCCATGATTAAATAACATCCATAGCATTAAAAAAAAAAAAAATGTGTTTACCTGGCCAAGAGACTCCTGCAGTTGTACCTGTAAATATTCTGGGGGTAAAGCAGGAATATTCAGAGAGGCTTGTGAGAGTGGATATACTGAACGGGTAAGAGAGGACTCAAAGTCTTCGACTGAAACACTGGATTGATTGCTGTTCACTACATTTTGCTTCAAAACCTCAGGATCCTTTCTTCCTGAATCATCCAATCTCAGAAGCTCGACTTGTGATTCAACGTTTAGCAGCTCTGACTTCACAAGGTCTATCCTTGAGGAGGCATGTGACGCCATCGGGAGTGCTCCACTTATCTGCTCTTGTCTAAAATGCTCTCTCAGGGCCGGCCAGAGTCCAGCAATCCATGGCTCCACCACAAGTTCTAAACTGGACAGTAGTAACAGAGGAAAAACAAAACAAATACCTAAGTTCTCCATCTGAATGCAGAACAGGAGAATGGCAGTCTGTTCATCTGGCTAAGTATGCACTTGTTAGACATGCTATGAAGACCATTAGGAACACAAAACATGCTTCATGATTAAGCTTTTAAAAGCTGGATATATTATGGGTTCATTAGCACTGTAGCTGAAAACCTATGAATATGTACATAGGTAAAAGAAATGAAAAGGGATATGAAGATATTCTAGTAATAAGATGATAAGGATAGAATTCCTCTTCATGTCCTAGAATTGGTAAACTTTAAGAAGACATAATTTTAAACAGGCATGCTAAATTCTGATAATGCTAACAGAACTTAACCAAAATCCATAGGCTACCATAATGCTGCAAATGATCATTCCATCAATCAAATACACCATTTTGGTTTTTTTTTTTGCCTAGCCAATTTACTGATATTTTTCCTACAGATTAAATTATCACCAAGAAATCACTATGGATTAATGCCAAGTTCTTGGTTAAATCAATAGTTAAAGCCTTTCTCTCAGTCCTAAACAATTTTTTTCTTTTTTGGTAAAATTCCCAGGGAGGCTGACCACAGGAGAAAAAAAAAGCAATCATCCTTTGGGAAAGTTGAATTCATCATTAAATACATTTCTTAAATGTGGCAGTCCACCTACTATTAACAAAGTATGATAACAACAGCATTCCCTGGACAGACAAGTTTAAGAAGAGTCAGTGGATAAGACCATGTCAGGGCTGTGGAAATAACACCACTTTTAATCACAACTCAAAGGAGGTATCAATTAAATTCTAATTCATAAAGATAATGAGTATCAGGAAGGCACAGTTCAGACCTGTGTCTCATGACTCTCGTAATGTCATCATGCTCAGTAAGTGCTCATGTGGTACACAGCTCAAAATTCAGTCATACATTATATCTGTCCTGAGGAGCCTTTGTGAAGAAAAGTTTATAAAATTATAGGTTCAATAATAACAGCTAGATTTAAAATGTCTCTCTCATAACTCAGAAATATTAAGGTGATAATATGCATAACCATTCACAGAGCTAGCATTCACTGAGTGAACTTTAGCAACTTTTATGTAGTAAATGAATGAATGTTATTTACTACATGATGGGCACTGTTCTAAGAGGACATGTATTAATCCATTTGATCCTCCTACGAAGCTTACACAGTAAATAGATTACTATTATCTATTGCATAGAGGCAAAAACTAAGGAACAAAAAGCTTAAGTAATTTGACCGAGGTCTCAGTTAGTAAGTAGGGGATCAAGGATTTGAACCCAGGTATTGGACTCAACTGTGCATTCATAACCTGTGTAACATGGTGGTACATCAAGCAAGAAGGTCTTGAAAATATCTTCATTTCAGAAAAAGAAAAATTCAAGTAAAGTAGTTAGGCTGAAAAATCTAAGCAGTATAGCCTACTGAAATATACAGTCAAGAATTTTAATACCTACACCAATAAATCAACAGAGAAAATGAAAGCCTTTGAAGAGAAGTGAAATATAGATGAGGGATGGACCTAACGGATGGCATAAGCATTACATTAACAGTTAAAGATAGCTTGTACAAGACTAAGCATTTAATGTCACTGAGCTTCTGGCAGAAGAAAAAAGCTCAATATAAAGGTACAAAGCTAAAAGTGAATTTACAAGGAAATGTCACAGAGTTTTGTCACAATCAAGAATACGTGTGCTGGGGATATGGAAAAAACCCGAAGCATTACAGCTGAAGGGCAAGATTGAACTAGTGGGCACGGGGTTAAGTTCAGTGGAAATACAGCATGCCAAAAAGCAGGACATTTGCTGAATTTGTCATTTTCTCATAAACAGATTATTCAACACGGTGAGTGAAAATTAATCTATGCACCTAGTGGAAAAAAATTCAAGGGTGTGTGCTGTTATCTGGCTAAAATAGTTAAAGGCTAAATATGTTATAGGACAGTATCTGTAAGACCACAGAATAAACACATCAGGATGATTTGAAAGGTGGCACACCAGGTGAAATACTGAATTGTAAAAACAGTAACAAAAGTAATGAAAAGACAAAGTAAATGTCTGTATATGTCTGACTGGCATGATGGCAAATGGCCATTCAGAGGGTTGGAGTGCGCCAAGCAATGCAGTCTGCAGCGAAGGCCCATAGACCCGTGTTCTCTAACAGCGAAGAGAGGCTCGCCAGGCTCCCTTCATGTGAAGAGACCAATCTAATGGCTCCGTGTGCACAGCAGAGAGAAGTGCATGCACTATTAAAGTCCCTAAAAAATGTGGTGATTTTTGCAAATACCTACACTGTTTAAAGATAACTGTACTAGCACCTTTTCTAACTCTTGCCATTAGCATATACTGAGAAGGATGAAACAGACACAAAAGAAAATCAGCAAAATAGTTAAATCAAGCTCTGGCTGACTCTCACGGGTCCTAAAGCTAAAACAGCTAACAATAGTAAAACATGAGGAAAATTTCAGTGTTAAATGAAAAGCCAACATGTTTTATAAATTAACAAACTTTCATCGTGTAGATGGTTTACTGGAAGAAACAGAGAACACAGCCCTTACCCTACACAGTCATCTGCATGTCCAGTGTCATAGAAATGTCGGGCTCCAAGCTCTTGAAATCGTTTATCAATTATTTTTCCCCCATTGCAAAAGTAGGTGTATTCTGAATTCCCCAGACCTAGAGTACAAATACATAATTACTGCACAATAAGGTTTAAATTTAAGGACATAAAGAATAGGTAAATAAAACATCTAAAATAATATTATTCCATGTTCTTATGGATAGAGTTAATAACGTACGGCTTCACTTTTATTCTCCTTGAATAATACCATGCATGCAGACAATTTTCTTTTATTTTACAACATAAAAGTACCAGACATAATGAAACAAAATACTTATTGGCCACTGTTGGAAGAAAAGACTTCCCATTTTCATCTCCATGACAATGTGTAAAAATATCGAAATCTTAAAACCAGGATTGGACAGGTTGCAAAACCACAATATCTGTTATGTGTGCATTTTTCTGATACTGAGCAGGGGTCTGCCAACCACAGCTTCTGGGACAAATCTCACCCACTGCCTTTCTTTGTAAATAAAGGTTTATTAAAAGACAGTCAAGTCCATTTGAGTACATATTAATTATAACAGCAGAGTTGAGCAGGCCTGCAAAGCCTAAAATATTTACTATCTGGCCCTTTATAGAGTTTACTGACTCCTGATACAGAGAGGTACACCTGTCATATAAATAATCATAATAACAATGTGCTATAAATGTTTCTGTGTTGGGGAAATTAAGAATTGCTTCTATGTCTCATGGTAAAAAATAAACTTAAATTCCTCAGTTGTTTAGTCATCTCCATGTTCTTTCTCTACAACAGGGTGAGAAATGAGTGGTTCCATACATGGGCCTAACAATGACTAGAACAGTGGGATAGGTTTCTGTCCCTTCTTTACACTTTTTTTGAGAGATTTTCAAACAAGTATGCATTCTCTCTTACCCTCTTCAAAAAATAATCCTCAAAGATAGGCCAATACAGGTCCCAAGTCAGGAATGTGGACCCTCAATTCCCCTCTGCTATCGTATTGTACTGATCTGATCCCTTTGATCCTTTAAGATTTTTAAACTGTGCTTCAAAGAGTCCTAGGTCAGTTTTTCTTAACCTGGGACACATGTTAGAATCACCTGGGAGCTTTTAAAAATAACGATGCCAGGCCACTACCTTGAAATAATGACATCAGAATCACTGGAGGTGGGCCTAAGTAACAGAATTTAATAAAAACTTCCCTAGCTAATCCTGATGCGTAGCTGGGGGATGAAAATCACCATTCTAGGTTCTTAAAGAAATTATCAAAATCACTTGGGAGTTTTTTGTTTTGTTTTGTTTTTCTAAACAAAGAAGTGGCATGAGGGGTTGCTCCTTCACAGACTGTTTTAGTAGGAGTAGGATAAGGCCCAGCCACTACTATTCTGAAAACGTTTCATGGCTGCATCTGAAGTGCTGTAATTAAAATGCTGCTCAAGAGGGTCTGCAGAGGTGTGGCTCTGGGGAAAGAGTCATAAAAGGTAGCACATTATATGCATTTATATATACTATATATACAATATTTACATTAAAAAGAAAACCTATATAATCACACTTCATAGTTTTCAAAAATAATCCAGATGCCAGAGATAATAATAGTATAGTAAGAACAGAAGAGAGAGTCCATTACCCAATAACCCATACCGCAGGTGAGCAAAGAAATCAACCGGCAGTGTTTTGTTCTGTATTTCCTTAACAAACTTGCGGGCTGTGTCTGGTGGGTCTCCGGTGCCCGTGGTGGAAACCACAACAACAAGAGGAGCTGTTTCGGTTTTTAGGTCATACTACAAAACAAGGACATCAAGTCAAGGACCTAACACTACAGGCGTTTTTGATTTAACACAGCAGCAAAGCAACTACCTTAGTTTCCTGTCTTGTATCTCAATTTTCCTCCTTGCCAGTTTTTTGAGATGTATGCCAGAGTGACCAACCCAATGACTAGGTGCTCTCAGCTTAATCAAGTTTCCTAATGCAGGATTTCATTCAAGGAAACCATGCATCTGATTTGTTGATGCTCAATCATCAAGAGGTTGGGAGGATTAACATATCTTTCTCTTATGTGGTGTAACCAGAGGCAGAGACGAGAAAGGCAGAGACAGGACCCATCCCAGGTTTCCATCTAGTCGAGTCTTTCATTTTTAGAAATATCAGAGGAAACAGGATATAGTCAACTCTTTGCAACTAAGTCATGCGCCAAATATTAACATGAGCTCTAATATGCAAGGCAAACCAGCCCTGCTAAGAGCCAATTATCAGGCAGCTACGCACTGTGATGAGCTGCTAAGGAGGAGCAGCAGCTAACAGGAGTAGAAACGTCTTTTCATAAGAAAGCAAAAAAAACAACAAAAAAAAAAGCAAGAAAAGAGATGTTAAAATGGGGATGGGGACACTCAGACATAAACAGAACAGATACATAAGCATTCAGGGTTAACATGGCAAGACATGGAAGTAACAAGCAGAATACAGTGGTAAAGAATGACAGCAATAAAAACACACCAGCTCTGAAATCTTCAGCAAAACATAAAACCAGCCATGTGTACTGCATGTGACACTAAGGCAGAGGGACAAGGGGGCATTTTAAAGCTAGGAACTTGAAAGTGTTACCCCTTCTACATCAGGGACTTGGCTATTAAGAACCGCTCCTTATTCCCTCAGGTTTCGAGAGAGCTGAGAATATAATTAGCTATAAGTCTAGTTATAAACTCTTACAAATCATGTTTCTTTATTTTTATGTTAAGTTTAAATATTTCAAATAAAGCACTTCCCTGTCCTACTTACAAAGACTTCACAAGCTCTGCTGCCTGTGAACGCCATCTAATTTGGCTCCAAATAATTCGCTTTATTTTTCATGCTGGTAATAGAGTTAACGACTTGCGCTAACTTTTCACCAAGACATTTAATGCTTCCAAGAGTCTACACAGTTGTGTGTTAAACTCCGTATGCAGAGTTTGTATAAGTAATGTCAGTCCCTTTAAAAAGGACTATGTGAACTAGGAAGGAGATTAGATCATAAACAGCTAGAGAAACCATTCAGTCAGGGAGAACAAACAGCATGACTGACTAACTTGGTGTTAAAAAAAAAAATTCACCGTTCATCTGACCGTCAAACACCTGCTGATCAACTTACCGAGGTCAACCACAAGGGGCCGAATCAGGGCTAGTTTTGATACTGATGACTTTGGTTCTGTCCAAAGTAATAGATTCAGATTACATTTCACCATGTGACACTGCGATGTGAATTTAAGTTACTATAGAATGACAGGGCCTGCTGAGCGGGAAGTTCCCTTTTCTCCAGTGTCTACCTCCAGAGTCACCATGGCAGAGCTGCATAAAGGAACTACGTGAGCCTCCTATGAGCTGGGTTTATAATTCACTTCAGCTGCACACAGTCTAGCATTCTGAACTAGAGTTTCAGGAAAGGCCAGAGGGGGTTGTGTACATGAGTGAGAGAATACTGGCAGGGCAGTCTCCTGTGGGTCAAGATGGCCAGGGGGAGACCTATATTAATTCTAGCTAAATTATAAGCTTGCTTGGTTCAGAGTACACTGAAGTTTATATACCAAACTAAACTATATTATTGGTGCAGTTAATTAGAAATCAAGCAGTAACAGAAGGCCTAAGGTGAAGACCATCCGAGAGCGCAGTAACATCGGGGAACACTGCAGGGTGGTTGCAGAACAGGCAATACTGCTCTGGTCCCATGAATGCCTTCTCAACATGGAGACTGCATGAGAGTCTCATAAAGAGGGCTTATGCAAAGATCTCTGAGAAGGGAGGCAACATCTGCTCACAAGATCTGGGAGGGTCTTTGCAGATGGTAACTGGCAAGGAGGAGAAAAGCCCTGCAGGGCAGAGATCATGGAACGCCTCAGGCTCTGCCTAGGTTCTGGGAATAGGGAGTGACTTTAATTGCTCTATGTCCTCAAAGCTACGGAGATAAAAGCCCCCTGATGCATCAGGTGTGGTCAGACTGGGTGGCTCCTCAAAGGCTACTTCTGATGTAGATGCACCCCGGTAATGATCAGTGATAAACTCAAAGTACTAGTTTATCAATGTCTTACAAGAATCTCAAGTGCTGTTAAATGCTCAGAGCACTAGTTTAGCATATCTTAGAAGGATCACAAGTGCTTACCTACCCCTTCACACTCCCCTTCTATGCCCATTAGATCAATTAGATTATGCCCATAATAAAAGTGTTTGGAGCCCAGAGCTGGGGCCAAGGCATTTCCCACTGTTGGACTGATCCCCTGGACCCATGCTGTAAATTCTACTCTTATGTCTGTATTTCCTCAATCCCTCCTCACCACAGAGACTAAGGGCACCCACCTACGGGGTTGGGGCTGGTACCCAACATCTCTTAAGTATTGAAGTGATCTGAACGGCTTAATGGTTGGCATATCACCTTGTGGTATAAAGCCCCTGCCAACTGTTAACACCTGAATCGTCTGAAATAGTGTAATCTGGGAAGTGACAATCTAAATAAAAGAACACAGGACTGTAAAGTTGCATATACCCCAAGGTAGGAACTTCTGCAGAGACTGAATTTAAATAACCAGTCCCTGAAGAAGAGTTTCGTCTAGATCCCAACACTACTACTTTAAATTCTATTTTACGAAAGAATCTAGGCAGTCTTTCATTAGGAGGAACTCTAACAGGAATGGCAAGGCCTTTCTTTTGGGGAAAAAAGTAGGGTACTGAGATTCATGAGGCAGAAAGCACACCTGGGCACTCACACATCTCACTTGTTCTCAACAGCCACCCTGTGAAATAAACAAGGCATATGCTACTTCTGCCATTTATAGTTAAGGAGTTGCTACTTGCTTCAATTTTTGAGGCCATTTAGTTTAATTCAATTGCACACTTCTAAATTTAAAAAAAAAAAAAAAAAAAAAAAAAGCTGCTGAAATCTTACCATACTATCGAACAAATAAATTTCTGTTAAAAAAAAAAAAAAACAAAAAAACAAAGATTATCTGGTGGTATTTAGTGTCCTTTTCTTAACCATCACTTCCCAACCAAAATTCTTCAAAGCACAAAACAGTAAAACCCACAGAGTAACGGCTCTCACCTTGTTGGACTCACTAATGCAGTGAAGATCTGCAGAAAATCCATGTGCCACTGCTTGCTCACATATTTCTTCTGCTATGGCCTTTGCCTGTCCCTGCTGTGTAGCATATAATAACAGAAACCTCCTCATAACTCCAAGACATGTAACAGAGAAACTGAAAAATGGGAAAAAAAAAAAAAAAGAGATCGCCTTTTTAATGAAGTAGTAACAACCTGAAGGTATTAATTCTCCCTCAATCTTTAAGAAACTGCAACAATATATACACATACGGGTATGAAACAGTCTTTTCTAAATTTGTTTTTAGCATGAATCTTAAATGAGCCTAAATAAGAATTCATCAAATTAAGGAGTATAGGAATGAAACTCTTAATTCCATGGCTCTAAATCAGATTGCTAGCTCGGAATTACTTGGGCTTGAATCTGTGGTTCGTTAAGTGCAACCCATTAAGGCAAGCTCCCCAAATGATCTTTACCACAGCCCCTTTACCCAAAAAATGGGACTATTACCATCTACCTGAGAAAGGATGCATGCAACACAGGCCAAGAACCTGAAAAAAGCTTAGGCCACAGTATCACTCACCAGTGTTAAATATCTGTTGCCTCTTTTTTTTAAAAGAAAAAAAAAAAGTAAAAATTATATTCAAATGATAGGATTCTTGGTTCCTATTTGATCCTAACATTAAACTAATCAAAGTACTAAAGGTAACTGAAGCACGTATTTTCCTTTGTTACTTAATGCAAATCGAAAACATGTGAGTGTATGGACGTACAAATGCGACATGGTAAAAGACCCATAAAACTGCATACCTCAACCATACCTCGGCTTTCCATTGAAGCTGCTCTCTGTAACCCTGATGTGACAGGCAAGCAGTCCAAATCCACGCTATCTTGGCCCCCTGCGGCTTGTAATAAGCAACTAAGGTTTGTAATTTCCACCCTACCCAGGCAATGTGTAAACTAACTCGTATCTTGGCTTCTGTGAACCACTTAAGTAACAATCGAAATGTCCTGAGTCCCCTGGCCCTCAGAATGTCCGGAGCCCCTCACCGTCACCTCCGCCCAGGAGGTGATCTACAGAATCCACTGTCCCTCGGAATATCTGAAGCCCCTCACCCCCACCCCTGAGGTGGTTTACGGGTGTAAAAGGTCTTGACACCCTCCTTCGGGGGCCACAGGTTGGAGAGACAGGAGGCCTTCTGTGCAGCAATAAAGATCCTGCAATTTGGCATACTTTTGTTTTGGTGTTGACTTTCTATGCTCGCTCCAGTACAATACACATACAAGCGCACATAAAGAATAAATATTTCCAATCCACTTAAACATTTTACTAACACATGTTTTTCCTGAAGAGATTAACAGTAGTAAAACAACACAGATTTTTTTTTTTCCATACTCATCTAACGGCTAAAACTGGAGGGCTGTCAATTTGTAAAGTCAGATTTAAACTGAAAACAAAACCAAAATCTTGGTTTTTGGTGTATGAACCGCCCAGAACAGCACCGGCCATAAAACAGGTACTCGGTAAGTTATCTGAATGAGTGAATAAACAATATAAAAACACTACACATTTACAGCTTACAGAAAATGGTGGAAACGATCATGAAAACCTTACTACAGCTAAAATTTCTATCACCTCCCATGAAACACACACATCCTGAGGGTTTCCCAGGATCAATCAACCCCTCACCCCTGCTACTGGCCCACAGCATGGAACCACCTTCCCACGACTCTCAGCGGAGGCCGGAGTCCCAGCAAGCCCAGGGGCGGCGCAGAGGCGGTGGGCGGAGCTCACAGCCGCGTCCGGCAGGGTGGGCGCTCGGAACGTCCCCCGTGCTCACCCCTCCCCGGCACGCCCCTGCCTCCCCACGTCACCGAGTGCGGTTTCTCTAGGCCTGCAGAGCGCCTAGAACCAAAGGCAGAACACGCGGCGGGCCCCACACCCCCCAAGGACCTCCCCGAGCAGAGGCGGACGCGGGGGCCAGGCACGCGATCCCGGGGGCACCAGGGCCAAGCCCGAGCCCGCGTCTGCGGCGATCCCCAGAACCCGAGGGGCGTGGGAACCACGGGCGCACGCTCCCCACCCCGGACCGCCTCTCTCTCGGGGTGAGTGCAGGGCTGGCCGGCGGCCGGAATCCGAGAACTGCAGCCGCCAAAGAGCTCACCTGCGCCGCGCCAGCCTAGGACTAACCAGCGAAGCGCGACTTCCACCAACCTTGAGCCCGAGCACACGGACGTAGCGCCCCGCCCGGTACCTAGGACCAATAGGAAGTTCCGCAGGGGACCTGGGCCAATCATACTGCTCCGCCGTGAGCCAGGAGCCGTGCTTCCGCCTCGCCCCGCGTTTGCTACGGAGGCCCACGAGGTCCTGGCGCCTCTGCGACCCCCTTGAGTGATCGGCGGACGGGGCGCGGTAGGCGTCCACGCGGGCTCTCGGCGCGGTTGGCCAGGCTGGGTGTCCCAGACCTCGCTGGCTTTCTCGGGCTGCGCCGCCTGGCCAGTGCCTCAGCTCAGGTACCCGGGGCGCTGGGTCTGGGTGTGCTCGGCCCGCGAATCCCTTTCAGTTCTGGGAGGACGCGCCGCGGGGCTCCCCACCTGTCTGTCCTGCACGCTCGGGTTCCCAGATCCCCCGCGGCGTCTTTAGGTCTGGACTGGCCGCCCCACCTTCTCCCTTCATAGATCTCTGTTTGGCTTTTTCTTTTCCTATCGTTTCTCGATTGAGTAAACCGTCTCCGATCACCGAGCGGAAACCGACAGCTTAGGGCCTGTCCGGCGGGTGGGTTTGGAGACGGAGCCTCGCCCTGTCGCCCAGGCTGGAGTGCGGCGGCGCAGTCTCCGCTCACGTCCGCCTCCGCCTCCTGGGTTCAAGCGATGTTCCTACTTTAGCCTCCCGAGTAGCTGGGACGACAGGCGATGCCACCACATCCGGCTCATTTGTTATTTTTAGTAGAGACTAGGTTTCACCACGTTGGCCAGTCCACGCGTTTTAACCCTTGCCCTGCCCTAGCCTCTCCTCATTTTGCCTACTTTACCTGTTCTTGGTTTATTTGATTTTTATCGAAATGCAATTCCTTCCTTCAACCAACGTTTAAGAGCCACCATTAAGAGTTGCACTGCCTGAGTTTGAACCCTGGCTCTGCCACTTAACCACCTGCATAAACTGAGCAAAGTGACTTTGTGCTTCAACTTCTTCCTTGAGTAAAAAGATGGTGAAGGTACTTAATCTGTGTAGGTTCATAGAATACCTGCAACAGTGCTTAGCAAGTGGTAGTGATTGTTATTGTTAGATGTCAGCCACTTTTTTAACTTGGATGCAGAGACCTTGCTCCTCTGGTATTCATGTTATCTATCCTTTTTTATCTATCCACTTTTTTTTTCGGGTACTCTTTTGTAGTTTCATAAACATTGATGTTGGGTCAATCATGTTCTCAATGTATTTAACCATGTCTTTTTAAATTGTTTAGTTATCAAACAGAATCTGATGGCATGGCTTTAATCACCTTGAGGAAGAACCTTTATCGTTTATCTGATTTTCGAATGCATGGAACTCTCGCTACTTTAAAAAATCAACCTCCAACTCATGTTCACAAGGTAGTCGAGGACCGTCTGTGCCCTTGGTTCTGTTCACGACAACCTGAGCCTTTCAAGGTCAGGTTCCATCATGCCTGTTGTAAAAAGTTTCATTTGGATAATGGAAATGACCTTCATCCACTCAGTGGGCCGGTATTCTCTCAAGTATCTGACTGGGACGGGCTTGACCAAAACGTTAAAAATGAGGACAGTCAGAGGTTTTACAAGAGATTAAGCAACTTGACTTCATCGAAAGAAGTGTTAAGTTTTATAAGCACGATGGAAACCTTGCCTGACACTGTGGCAGCAGGAGCTTTACAACGAATCTGTGAAGTGGAAAAAAAGGATGGTGATCAAGGGCTGCCAAAAGAAATACTGGAGAATAGCATCTTTCAAGCTTTATGCTTTCAATTAGAACAGGAACCCTCAGAGCTGTCAAACACTAGTTTGGTGACTGCTTTGCAAGCTCTGATTCTGTTACATGTGGATCCTCAAAGTAGCCTGTTACTGAACCTGGTGGCAGAATGCCAGAATCGTCTCAAAAAAGGTGGCCTGGAAGTTCACAATCTTTGTATCCTTGGGGAAAGTCTGATTAGACTGTACAGTCCGGGTTGTGTGACACTAGAACTGATTATAAGTCAGCTGCAAGGTGAAAAATTGGAAACATTTACCCCAGAGGATATTGTGGCCCTTTATAGAATCTTGCAGGCATGTGCCGAAAAAGTGGATGAACACCAGCCATTTTTAAATAAGATAAACAACTTTTCCCTTTCAATAGTTTCCAACCTGAGTCCTAAATTGATGAGCCAAATGCTCACTGCCCTGGTGGTTCTTGATCAAAGTCAAGCACTTCCTCTGATTATAAAACTGGGCAAATATGTCGTGAGGCATATCCCACATTTCACTCACAAGGAGCTTGGGAGAGTCTTGGAGGCGTTCATATATTTTGGGCACCATGACAGATTTTTGACAAAAGCCCTAGAGCAGCATGTAGCTGCACTCCATCTCACGCTGGATCCTGAAGTTGTCAGCAGAATCATGGAGTACTGCAGTAGAAAACTGATTCTTTCAAAACCCATCCTCAGTGCAGGGGCAGAAACTTTTGTTTGCCAATCAGAAAAATTTTCACCTAGTCAGATTTCTATATTAATGGAAGCATTTGGAAAGCTCAATTATTTGCCACCAAATGCCTCTGCTTTATTTCGAAAGCTGGAAAATATGATATTCACTCATTTCAATTATTTTCCGCCCAAAGCACTATTGAAACTTCTTCATTCATGTTCACTTATTGAATGCCATCCAGTCAACTTTATGGCAAAAATATTCCACCCTTTTTTCCTTCAGCGGCTGCAAGGTGAGTTGATTATAACTTCTGACAGTTAGAAAAAATTAACCTTTGTACTGGTGGTGGTTTCAAGTCACTTAAAAAGGCAATGCCTTGCTTTTATTTTTTCTTCCATAGTGATAAGATCTGAGGTTAACAGATGCTGGCATAAAAACAGCATGCTAGGATGTTGCATAGAGGGAGGAAAGCTGTCTCAGATAAAGTGACTTTTGCCTTAGCTGAGAAATTGCAGCATTCTTATGAGATACGGTGAGCTGATGGCAGTGGAACTAGCCACATTAACATGTTAGAACTTTTGGTGAATGAGCAACTGTATCTTTTTTGAGAGAGAGAGGATGGTATTGCTCATCTGAATTCAAGGCCACCCAAGTATGTCAAATTTCCGGAACTCCATAGTTAAAGGAAATTTCCACTAATTCTCTGAAGATTTTTCATCTCTTTTAATTTTATCCGTAGCTAGAAACTTGGGTTCTTGGAAGTCAGTTTCATCTGTGGCAGGAGCAGGGGCATAGTTAATTCTAACAAGTTAATTTCATAGTGTCATTTAAAAGTACAGTAATTCTGTCTAGCATGTGTAAGGCAATGTTCAATGTTCATGATGTTTGCATACATGTTTAAAATTCTGACATAACTATGACTGGGATGCTTTCTGTTTCAGGTGAAGAATCTCATTTGGACAGATTGAGTCGGGCACAACTGACCCAACTTTTTTTAACCTCAGTCCTAGAATGCCCTTTCTATAAGGTAAAAGCATGAACTGTGTGTGGCTTTATTTCTTTATGGGTGCAGTTTCCTTTTGTCTGCCCTGAAACTTTTTAAGTTCCTTTACTTTAATCTGTCTCAATAACCTCATGAAAAAGCAGAATTTCATTTACTTGGAGTTAGTTGCCCTCAGATAGGCTTTTCTTTGATAAATTGACCCCACTTTTGTGTTCTTGTTCTGGAAGGAACAACTTTCTCTGTGTAAGATTTCTTAGGAGGTTGTATCAGGTGCTGCAGGCACGTGTGTTAGAGTATTTCTCCAGTCTCTCTGAAGGTTTTATAGGGTTTTAGTACTAGGTTTAGTACTAGCTTTCTCATAGCTGTTTGTTATCAAAGTGTGAATGTCTGGACTAAACAAATACCTAAATTATTTGCGAGTGCAGTACATTTTTAAGCCAAGCCAGAAGTTTCACTTTTATCTAATAGAGTTTAGCTTACCTAGAGTTTGCTCTTCCCATAAAGTACTATAAAGATTCATTCAATTATCTGTCACATTTCTTATGTGGGATCAGAAATAGCACACCAGACTATGTCTTTCTTTCTCTGCTTCTCTATGCTTGATTCTGAATCATAGAGTATCTGATTTTTGAAATAAGGTGTAAGAATGGAAAAATACCCCCTTTTTAAATAGCTTAGACAGTCCTAAGTTATATAAAGGTAAATAATAATTAACCCCAGTCTCTTTCCATCACTAAACAAACCATATTAGAAGCAGTTTCTATTACAAAATATATACAGGTACATAAACACTGTCTATTTTTTCTCTTGTCAAGGAATGAGACTGACTAATCAAAGTACAGTTTGCTTTTGTGCCCAGTATATCATGGACATTCCTTGAGACCACTACACACAGGTCACATGCATTCTTTTTAGAAAGCCATGAGATTTCATGGTGTTTATTTCACTATTCCACTATTGATGCACTTTGAGGTTTTTTTCCAACTTTTGTCTACATCAGGAATGCTGTAATAAACATTCTTGCAAATCCTGTCATACTGGAGCCTTTTTGGTTTTTCTCATATGTAAACTAGATTCCTAAAGATGGGATTACTGGATTAATTTTTGATAGATACTGGCAGATTTTTCTTCCTTAATAGTTACAGATGTCGCATTTCCTCAGCAATGAACGAAGGTGGCCATGTCTCCGCCACTTCTATTACAGTGTGTTAGTAGTCTCTTCCGTTTGCGTTCCTCGACTAAATGAAAGAGGGTATCGTACCATATATGTAAGTTGCATTTTAATGAGCATTAATGAAGTTTAGCATATTTTCAAATATATGTTGGCCATTTACAATTCTTTTGAATTGCCTTTCTACACCTTAATTTATTTCTGTTGGATGATTTGTCTTTTTTTAAGGACTCATTGTAAAACAGATATTAACTATTATGAATGTTGTACTTATTTTCCCCTAATTTGTACTCATATTACTTTTTAATATTTCTTGATATATTTTTGAATGTTCTGTAGTCGAATCTGTCTTTTAGGACTTCTGAGTTTCCTGTCTCACTTAAGAGCATGAATATTTTACAACATTTTTAAAAATAATATATTTAAATTTTATTTAG